GGGGGGGGGTGGGAGTGTGGTTGTGGAGCGGGCCTTCTGCAACACCACATTTTACCTTCTGTATGTCTACTAACATGTTCCAAAACGGCGTGCCCACTCATTTCTGTATTTAGTTTACAACAACACTGTTTTTGGACATTTGCAAGCAAACCAAAGTGTTTCATGTCATTTGCATTTCAAAGCTATAAATCGGGGGTGTCCAAACTTCGACCCGGGGCCCAATTGCGCAGGCTGCGGTTTATATTCAAATTCACATTTGATTACACCCATGTCGTTTTTGCTTACACTGTTGTACTTTCCAACCCCCCCCGCCTCCCACCGCACCAAAAACCCATCGTCTCGTTTCCCAACTAAAACTGTGAAATAAATAAAAAAATAATTTGCTCACATACACCGCAATGAATAACGAAGGTGAAGAATGTATGCGGCCCGCGGAGTATAACGCTTGGACACCCCTGCTATAAATGAATGTATCATCAGACTGTAAAAAAAAAAAACAAAAAACCAACAACAAAAAAAAAAAAACATTTGCACCCATGTGAATGGAGACTATTTTTGAACTCTATGTGTACATAGCTTAGTCCTTATTAACTGATGGTTATATTTTATACTGTATGCTTGTGAATGGTCTGCTATTTTCACTGTAAAGTACGTATCTGTATGCCTGCCTCATTTTCCAAGACGTCTTTTTAATTGTGTGTCTGGCTGCAATGTTTGTGCCTGCCTTGCGAACATCACCGTCATGCGTTCAACCGTGACATCATGTGACCGCGGGAAAACTGCAGGAGCTCAGGTGGGCTGGCTCACTTCAACTATAGTCAATTGTTGTCTCGCGCGGAAATGGATTGCATCTGATGTATGTTGATGAAGAAAAAAAAAACATGGTAATAAATTTGTTATTATCTTTGCTAGGGCTGAATTATGCAAATGTGTTCCCCCACACCCCCATTAAACGGCTCCTCTCATGGATTGAATTAGATTGGCAAAATACCGTATACTGAAAGGAATCGTGTATGCTGCTAGGACAATAAAGCAAATATTTCAATATTTTATGATAATTTTGCTGATTGCAGCTTGTCGCTACGAAAACTCAAATTTGACAATGTAGAAGGAAATAATACAGATATCAGGTGGGAACTTTTTCCCGTGTTTAATTAATCTAATACCTCTTTGAATTCTTTGAATTGAACTATAGAAAGTTTATTTCCATAGATTATGTACAAATGCATTGAGATGCGTTATTGAGGTCAGAAATTAATTTTATTTTATTGCGAAATTCAAAAAACATCTAAGTTGAATGTGCAAAGCTGAAAAAAATTAGCTTGAGGAAGCAACAGTGAATAAATATTTTCTATTCAAAAATAAATAACCCCAGTTTTACTTGTACGTGCTGCTGTATTATCACTAACAAAAGTCTCAGGTTTGAAAAATGATGGGAGCACAAGATTATGAAACGTGTGCCAAAATATACCATCTCAATATACCTGAATGGGATCACGTCCATATTTGAACCTCTCTCGATCCCAGCCATGTCCTTAATATCTTTTTACCTCAGCGGGTTTATCTCAGCCAGGAGTATTTTTCCTTCAGATTGCAGAATTTCCAGCATCTGCAAGAGGAGCACCACATTCTCTCCTTTGGACGCCTTCACCACTTTGCAGACGTGTGCCCAGTGCATCCCTCTGGCCATCTCCAGCAGAGTCTCGGTGTCGCCCGCAATGCTTAACGCTCGCTGGTCCGTCCAGCCCAGCGTCACTCTTGGAAAGGAGTGCGCCTCCAGGGCGCGTGCCAGCGTGCGCCCTACTACGTCGGTGGGATGCTCGCAGCCCGGCGGCCTCTTCTCTCGCTTATAGCATACGATGAGATGCGCCAGCATACATGACCCCGCCTCCAGGAGGGTGTGGTTCAACACCTTTGTGGAATTCAGGCTGGAGTCGCCCGCTTGTGCGCTTCGGATAAGCGCCGCCCTCCAATGTATGTCGGTGACGAGCTCCAGCGCCGTGCGGCCCTTTTCGTCTGTTTGATGGAGGAGTTCAGAACCTGGATGAGACCATCACATATACATATATAATATATTAGAACTTAACGATTTGGAAAATAATTTTTTTTTCTCATTTATTTGAAATGACAAACAAATGCATTGTGGGGGGGAAATTTAAATAGCTTTTAGAACCTGATTTCTAGTACTGACTCTGAGTCCAATTTTGTGGAGTCCGACCGCCAGTGTCGAGCCTGCGAGTCAAGCGGGCCCTTTTGTTTGCGTTTGGAAACAAGCATTTTTTTGCAGCCACCTGCTCTCGAGGCCACTTGACTGCTCAGCCTCACCACTTGAGAGCCGAGCGCACAGCTCCATGTGTGACACACAAACAGGTGAAGAGCTGTCAAAAGCCATTTTGAGAGTTGTTGCCCATCGACGCGGCGCACTCGTGGTGGAAAAGGTAAAAGGCTATCATACATGGCAATTTTCCGCGGAAATCCGCCGTTTTATTTCTTAAATTGATCATTTTTGTGAATCGTCTAAATCCGTTGAGAAAATTTTAGGGGCGGTCAGGTACCTTATCGTCGAGTTTTCACGAGCTCTCCCGAACAGTCTCTCCGTTTTCCGTTTGTAAACAGCCCTGCGATTGGACGTGTATGAAAGCTTCAACTAATCAGATCACTGAAGGCATTATTTGTTGCGGAAGTCTTAGCTCGATTATAAACGGCCCAGCGATTGGTTAACTACAAGCGATTGGACCAATCAAATTGCATGTAACATATTGCTTTACCTGATTCATGGCGGCCTGTTCGTCTCGCAAATTCATTGTTCTGGGATCGTTTTGAGCGGAATTATGAAAATTTTGACGAAAGATCAGGAGTCTTTAATCCTAGAAATTGACTCAAATGTCAAGAATAAATT